TGAAATTAACTGATAAGCTAGATGAAATAAAAATTTCAATGACCTTATTTGAAAAGATACACAATGAAACTTATGAGATGAACTCGATTTTTTCAAAAAAGTTCGTCTTACCAAATTAAGGTTATTTGAGTGCAGGAAGCATACAAGGTAATCAAATAAGGTATAAGCTAGCTTATATGTTTACCAAACACAACTTAAAGTAATGAGATTATCGTTGATCATAATCTAGTTTATAACCTATTTAATTAGCTAGCTTATCAGCATATGATGAATTTCGCAGAAGACACAAACTATTCTTAGATGATTCTCGAGATACAGTTTGAAAAGAAAAAAATCTAATTGAACTAATTTCATAAAACATTATATCAATTAATTTGTGTTTAATTAACCACTTTTAATATCAACTAACTTTTCAAACAAATGTGCAAATATACAACTCTTAGTTGAGTAAGACAACCAACAACTAAATAAACTGAGAGGATAGGTCAGAAGACCGCCTAAATCCGACCTAGCAAAGCTCGAAACCAAAATAAGACTCGGGACATGACCAAACAACAAAAACTAGAAAAACTACTAAAAAGATTCATACAGGATAATGTCCAAGTGTACGATCCCAACAAAATAATATGCTCACTTGGATTCACATGGGTCAACGACCTATACCATGGTTCTTCTGTCTATCAATAACTGAATGCATTGCACGGTGTCCAGTTTTTTTTTTTCAGGCTTACACCTATTTCCTCGAAAGAAGACTCTAAACAAATAACTGAAACGAAACTACGAAAACAAATAAGAACAAGCAAAATCAAAACAAGCTCTTCCTCAATAAATCTACCGAACAAACAATCGACCCCTAGGAAACATCCGCAGCCCGAGAAACCGCCGAAACTGCCGAAAAGCCTATCTGAAGCGGAAAACCCAGACCCCTGAACCCAACCTGTGAGCAGACCTTCTCCGTCGCTGGAGGCCAAAGAAACCCAAATCGCTCCACTCAACACCATAGCCCCGAACCGGTTAACACCACTAGCCCATAACAGAGACACTGAGGAAAGGAGGTTGACCGTGTACCTTTAGCCCTGATGCACCAACGACCACAATCCCCGCCGACACGAACCCGAATAACATATTTTAATTATATTAGCTAGTTTATTGAACATCAGCTACAATATATTAGCTATGAATTCAAAATTATTCATAAATTATCAGTTAATTTATCAATTAGTTTTAGATACCAAATGTCATTAACCACACATAATTTTGAGTTGGTTTCCTAAGGTAATGTGTGGAATTGTGGATATTCCTTTTAGTCCTTTTCTCTTGCCCCAAGGCATAAAATGTGAAAACTAAAAATATAATAAGATTACAGCTTTTTTATCAATGTTTCAATATTTCATCTGCAATGGGACACGTGGCATTTTGTGGGAATTTAAAAAAATGAAAAATGGAGTAAAAATTCTAGAATTATTGGTCAAAATAGGCTTATTTGAACTTTTATGATGTAATTATTAGATTTTTGATTTATAGCTAATGGATTTTGCTTGTTTTGCATCATAGAATATCAAAGTACTCAACTTTGTACCAAAAAAAAAGTACTCAACTTTGGTAAAAGATTTAATAATGAATAATAATACTGAGGATGTTTTGGTAATTGTGCCTTCTTTTGACTACATTTTATTGTCCCACTACTACTACTATATAACTCTAATACCGAGTTGATAAGGGTCACCACCTTTTATTTCTTTTGCTTTGTCTTGGGGCAATGAACTTGGTTAAATTAAAATTAAAATGTCACATTTTATTATGATGCTATAAAGATCACAAATTTATTTATTTGTTCCTTTCATTCGTACAATATAAATTTTCAATTTATTATTCATATTAGTTTAGTTTAGAATGATAGTCTTATGTGACACATACTATGAATATGAGTTTTAGACTGATGAGAATCGTTCGAGAAGTTTTAATGTTTATATTTGAATTCGAAATTGTTATTATAATATATATCCGTAAGCATAAATGCGGAATGGATTAATTGAATCAAGCTATGTGCGATGAACTTAGTATGGTCATAAGCTCAAATTTCATCCTTTTTTTCCTTTCAAAAACTAAATTTATTATCTTCTACAATACTCAAGAACGATACTATGATGTAAGATGTATGGAAGACGACCATTGGTTTCTAAGATTGATTGGATGGTCGTCGTTCGAACTCGAAATAAACATAACTATTATTCGGATTCGAAATCGTTGTTGTAATATGTTTTTGAAAGCCGAACAACAATTATGATCGAATTCACTACTACGTACACACAGTGGACTAAGTAATGCTAGGACCATATTCCATCCTTCTTTGTCCGACTTATCTCATTTGTAACTTTTAGGGCATGCTTGTTTTTAATTAATTGACTCGCGCTCAATTCATACTTAAAATTTAACTCAATTTTAATTCAACCCCACTATCTTTAATATTATTCATATAATTAAATAATACAAACCAATCATTCTTACACATCACATCATCTTTAATTCACTATTTATCCACTCACATAATTTTAACTACATATTATTTTTTACATCAATAGAATTTAATTATTTCATTTTAAATATTATTGTTGATATCCGAGTTGAGCCATGAAGGACCTATAGAACGAGAACAGTAAATCAGACGAAGACGATCCCAAAGTACCAGACCGACGTTCAAGCAACAGGAAGTTCGGGCTCGACAAAGGATAAAGTTGTTAAGGATGT